CCTGCGGTGCGGGAAAGTCCTGCTGGTGCCCGAGCCACTCCGGGGAAGGTGGGAGTCAAGCTGGAAACAGGTCTCTGGGAGCCGGGGTGGCTGGAGCCAGAGCTCAAAGGAAGGACTGTTGCTGGCAGGACTCGATGTGGTGCAGCACGAGGGGTTCCTCCGCACCACAGCCAGAAGAAACTGAACTCCCAGGAGGCCTGTGCCAGCAGTCCTGTGGAAGGATGGAGCATCCCGGACAGTTGTCTTGGCGGGTGTTGGCAGGGAGCGTCGTTCATCCACAGGAGCAGGGGAGGGTTTGTTGTCCGTGACCGTCACCCCTTAGTCTCAGTGCAGTGGTTTCTGCTTTGCTCTCTGGGAGAAGTGGCAGTGTGCCGTCTGGGCTCCAATTCACAGGTTCTTGAGACATCCCAGCTTATATGCAGTGACTGTTAAAACTTTGAGAGGAGAATAAAGGCACAGCAGTTGTGTGCAGATGCAAACACTGCCAGAAACACAGTTGGCATGGGTAAGGGTCAAGCAATTTCCACCCTTCTGTTTTACACAACCTGACCCTATGAGATGAGAGAATGGAAGTGGGAGTTTTCCAAAGTCTGAGGTCTGGCTTGGGGTATGCTTAAGACTTGCCTGTGCCAGAAGAGTTGGCAAGGGGTTTTCTGTACTGTATTCTTTACCCAGCTGTCTGGCAGTCACTGACTCTGAGTTTCCCTGAGGCAAAAGCTGTCTGTCTCTGGTTTTGGTTTCTATAAATTTCAGAGACTATTTTTTGCCACCTCTACCTTTCTGCGTGAGCAAAAACCAGCAAACGCCTCTATTCCTTGCTTTGTTTGGGAGATGTGGACAATTTAGCAAATATAAGATGTACTGATGGGCAGTACCTAAAAGCAACCGTGTAGCCAAAATAAACATCGGTAGGATGTGAATTCTCCATATTACGTGTGGGACAGAGTGACGGGATAATCAGGCTGGGGAAGCTGAGTTGTGGGTAGAGGTATGTGCACCAAACAGGTCATAAACAAGTTATGCTGCCGTTAGTGAGACATGTAATTTTTTAAATTCTAGGTTAGCTTTAAGCTGCTTCAGGCTTCTTTTGGAGAAGGTACACGAGCAATTCAGTGTTATGTGTGGCCCTTAAAGATCCCTGATTGCTTTTCATCGGTAAGGTATTGACACAGGTTTCCTTGCTCTGCAGGCTCAGTTAATTACTCTGCTTCCTGAAATTTCTACTGCAAGATGGAGATGGATTTAGGGCTGTTCTGTTTATTCTGAAAGAGAGCTCCCAGAAAGTGCAGGTTGATTCTTGTGTTGCTTGTAATAGGCTTTAAAAGTCCTCAGCTTGAAAAGTACAGCAGAAATGTACAGTATTAAATAATGTGGTATTAGACATGGCATCCATGGCGCATATCCTGTAGCGGGGCAGAGGCAGCAGAGAAAGCTTCGTTTGTGTCATCTGTATCCTGCAGACCTGGGCTGCGTGCTGTGGGTTGGTTTGTCGTGGGGATGTCATTATAGGTTAGGGTTTCTCTTTTTTTCCAAACACCCGGCATGCACAGAACTAAGAGCGTTCCCATACTTTATTTTCAGACATCTCCCAGGCAAGCTGCAGGGTTGAGTTGTGATTTGTGGGGCAGTAAGGCCTGTGAAGTTTGTCCAGTTCTCTTAAAGTACTGCTGTGCTGCTTAGAAAATGATCATCTGTAATTGTAGCCTATGCCTTGATTTTTAGGGACTTGGGATGCAAAACCAAGAGGCGACGTCAAAACTGAATGATCTGCTCTTTTTGTACTTCTTTAAGGAAAAGTCATTGTGCATGCAGCCTCAGAAGTTTGTGCAGCGGTCTCGGCTCAGCTGTGTAGGTGCGTGTTGCAGCAGAACACTTGTTGAATTCCTGGGAGGCAGGAGGTATGTCCTGGCTCTGCTCTAAATCTTAACTGGGGCAACAGTGCTTCCTCTCTGCACTCTGAGTAAAACGGATACCATGTTCTAGGCTTACACCAAAATGGAATTTTTCTTTCAAGCCTAACCCCAAGTAATCCTCGAAGGCGTGTTGACTTCATGGATTGAAAGACTGACTTGGAAGTCAGCGCTTCTTTGCTTAATTTGGGGCTACTCAGAGGCATTGGATTCTGCCACTGGCGGCCAGTTGAAAGTCAGTGAGAGCAGGGTACCTCTGAAACCTGTAGCTGTTGCATCCCGTGTAGCCAAGGCTCTCTTCTCATCTGTCCTGTCTCTCCCCATTGCTTGTGTCCATGCCACAGAGTGAGCCTCTATTCTGGCACAGCGGCCGCGTGAATTGACTGCTGTGGCTCTGCAGGCTTTGCTGGCGCAGTGGCCAGCAAGGCAGAGATGACGCATGCTGGCATGGAGTGGACGTGCGTGTCCCTGACCTGCACAGCTGCAGCCTGGGCTATAGAAGGCTGAGGCTTCCAGTGGTGGTGAGGATAATGGAGTGTGTCCTATGGCAACATGGCCTCTTGCCTACCAGTGTGGTGTCTGGTAAGCATGGCTGGAGGACCGCAGAAGGGCTGAGTCCAGGGCAAGATCTGCTGTGGAGGAAGAACTGGAGACAGTGCTGAGGCTGGGGGGGGCTGTTTCCCACCAGGAAACTCTGACGGGAGGAGGAAGAGAAGGCCGGGGTGAGGTGAGGTGAGGCTGGCAGCAGGAGTGGAAATGTTGGGTTGAATCTCCAGCCTTGATTCCCTTGGATGCCTTGTGCTTCTCAGCACCAGCTCAGGGACAGGCAGGGATTGTAGCTAAAGCGGTGCGTCTTGTCTGCCCCAAGCGTGGCAGGATGGAGCACCAAGTCCCGTTGTCTGGCTGCCTCGTTCTGCCAAGGCTTTTCAACAGCGCTGTGAGACCAGCAGAGACACCTTCGGTGGGGATGGCAGAGGGCAGTCGTCACAACCTTTGGTAGAAATCCTGGAGGTGGCTGCTCAGCCTGGGCAACGGTTGCCTGGCAGCACAGTGATAGCGGGCACTGCCATCGGCTGCCTGCTTGGATGCTGCAGGTTGGGCGTGGTTTTGTCCCTGAGGGAACTTCTCAGAAGCTGCACCTCAGTTTATCTTTGAATCAGAGGCAGAGACAAAAGCTACGTGATCTTGTTTCAGTGGAATGCTGGGGGATTAATTAGTTCATAGCTGTTCAAAGGTGCAAACTAAGAGCTAGTTGTTCACAGCACTTTGGGGCCTGAATCTCATCCTGAACTACATCTCTCCATGCCTGCCAAAGTTTTTCTACTACTACACAGATGGATATGTTTTCAGCAAAGGCTTCCATGTGGAAGATTTAAAAAAATAAAATAAAAAGTAACTCCAAGCTTGGAATCATGCTGCCAGGGAGAATGTTTACGAGGAAGCAGCCTAGTAAACAAGGAAATTTGGTGAGTTGCAAAGAGGTGAAATTCTACCGTGTGGCAACAATTCCCAGCTTGTCAGAGCCTCGCAGTGGTCCCAGCCATCTCAGGCTGACTGCAGGATCTTCGTTTTTACAGGCAGCCTCAGGAAGCTAGGTTGGACTGAAAAAGTAACAGAATTATGTGAAACTTGTCTGAGTCACTGACCCTGCATCTCCACTAGTTCTTTCAGGGCACTGCTCGTGGAGGAGGACAGAGAAGGCTGCAGCTGAGAGAGGAGATCTGCCCTTTCTGGTCACCACGAATTTCAGATCTCCTCCCCTAGCCTCTCCCAGTCTTTTGTACTTTCCGTGCTAATCCATCCAGTGCAGCGTAAACTGACAGAGGCAGCAGCTAGAAACCCTGCTCTGAAAGCTGCTGTGAATGCCTCAGGACCAGCAGCAGCATGCACATGAAAACTGTGCTCATCCTCCTCCTTCTGGCTTTAGCCACGATATTTGCTTTAGTCTGTGTGTTGCTGACCAGAGGAAGGGCCCCCAGCACCTGCCAGCACCAGCCCCCGGAGCAGGAGGACACCGATGACGGCCAGAGCCTGGTCTTTGCTGATCTGACACCCGAAGAGATGGTGCAAGTGGTGCGGTACCTGCAGGGAAACCTTGGGGTGCAGCTGGTTGACGCCTCGCGTGCAAAGCCCTCCGACAACTGCATCGCCTCCGTCGACGTGCAGGTCCCCGCCAAGGCAGATGTGCTGCGGTTCCTGGATGGTGGGGGGGCTCGCCCCTCCCGGGAGGCGCTGGCTGTGCTGTACTTTGGGAACCAGCCAGACCCCAACGTCACGGAGTACGTGGTGGGTCCGCTGCCGACGCCGGCGTATCACCGGGATGTCACGGTGCAGAAGTACGGGGGGAAGGTGCCGTACCACCGCAGACCGACGCTGGCTGTTGAATACCAACAGATTGCAGGGTTTTTAAAAAGCCAAGTGTTCCCCACAGCACCATTTTTCATGCATCAAGTAATGGAGTACGACGGAGCCAGTCTAGCAGCCCTGACAGCTGCTCCCCGTGGATTCCAGTCTGGAGATCGGATCACCTGGTTCATTTTGTTTCAGAACGTGAGTGGGTTCTTTGTGCACCCGGTGGGGCTGGAGGTGCTGGTGGACCACAGACACACGGACC